ATGTGAAATACAGTGGCACGTGAGTCCGTGGTGTCATGCGTATTACAGTATGAAATCTGCATTATAGGAAAATCGTTTCATTCCTTGGTGGAACTTCCAACGACTTTAATCCCCTCGGCAATTGCGGAAGATCGGTGAGGGTTACAGTTTGTCCAGGAAAGCAACCCTTCTTGGTATAGGACTCGAGCAAAAAGAACGGAGGTATTGTTTAGGAACGAGGTTACTAACTTACCTTCTGGATCACCCTTGGCGTATGATTAGACAATCCTAAGCAAATGAAGGTAGTCATCTAAGGGCGCGGAACTTCATCAGATATTCCCTGGTGAAGAGTATCAGACAAGTCCAAAGTAAGCTTGGATGTGACAAGCTTGACCGCTTCCCGAACCTCGCTCAGCGACACATTAGTAGTATTTTACTATAAATAACTGATAAACAGCAGATGGGGTGGGAGCCGTAGTCACGAAAACCTACTGCTCGGTGTTAAAAACCGGTAACGCAAGTCCTGGAATTTGAGGTGGCAACCAGCATAAGAACAACAGCAAATCTGCCTATAACTAACTTATAATGCCGCTCCGATCAGATATTGTATTTAGCTACAACATTGCGGACCAAATTCGGCTCAAGAGTATGTCATCAACATCGGATTCCGTAGATGAATCCAATTCGACTTTAGCAGATGGCGCAAAGACTGAAGTAAAAAGCACATTCGTTCTAAAACTAAGCCATGCGAGTACGAACCAAGTTTTGCCGCTTAACGTTAACACGACAGGGCTTATTTTAGAGCACATATTAAGGACATTGAGGTCATTATATGGGAGGAAGGCCAAAGAATCACCAAACAGAAAGAATAACTTGACCTCTAAAGAGCAAAACGTAAAAATTTCGAGAATAGATTACCTTTTTCTGTAACCGAATTACGGAAGTCCACTTTTTTTCTAACAAGCCAGAAAACTTTCGATCACTTTCACCTTCCTAATTCGTTGATTACCATCAGTTGAATAGTTGAACTCACTATTGTGGCCTCCTCTTTAAATGCGTTGAATGCTTGATGATATCCATTGGAAGACAGATAATCAGCTATTGCCCGATTACTTTAAAAACATTTATTCGAAAATAATAGAAACTCACAGCTCTTCCTTTTGTCTTTGGGCGAGAACCATTGGGTTTTGTGGGAGATAAACAGTAATTACATAAGCGACTGAGAAAATGCCCTATTATTTTGTAGAGCTTACGTCTGTGTTCCCTTTTACCCTAAACTAGCGGCAATCACCAACTTTATTCTATACGGGTAGGAGAGACTCCAATCGCAGCGGTAATTTCCAATAGCCCGCGCGTGCAGTTTAATCTATTACAATTCGTTAAACAACTATCCAATCCAATCCAATCTTCCAGAACGTAGAGGCCTCGACCTTATGGTTGTCCTGATTCTGGCTCGATCTCGTCGGTAGACCGATCGAGCTGTACGTTTGTCCGGCTTGCAGCACGGTTGATAATTACGCGACCTTCCGAAGTTGCGGGATTCGGATGTAGTAGGACTCGCGTCAGGTCAGATATCACGTGACGGAAAAGGCTTTCGCCGACGAAGCGTCCAGATTCTTGATTCGGAAGGACGGTTCCTCCTCCAAAAAGCTTCAAACTCGTTTCATTCGCTGTCTTGCAACTTCAGTCCAAATTCAAAGTCAAATCACAGGACGTAGAGAGGCCTTCGCCTGTTGGGTTTCCTGGTAATGGCGGGTTCCGTCCGTGGACCGACTTGCCTGCTAGTGTATAGCTTCTTCTGACTCTCCGCCAGGGAGTAATATCTGGAAGGTAGAAGGGAAAGGGAGACGGCGCAGTATCTGTTAAATGCATTCCATCAGTGAACTAAAGGAACCCTGATCCCTAGGGCAGATCTGAGAATAATAGATACCACTTTTTGTGCAGCTGTAGTTTGAAAGCCTTCTTTGTGGGACATTCAACTTTTTGCGGTGGTAATTTGTTTCATGTAGGGACTACTCTATTTGCAAAGAATACAATATACAATATACAATTGCTGGCCTGCTCCTGGTTCTCTTTCAGTGTGTAACAGTGCCCTCGGAGGATGTTGTTGGCCCACAAGGTGAACAAGTGTCTAATGGTGGACTGCNCTGCTCTATGTTTTTGGCAGCTTTGTGCAGTTCGATGAGGTCACCCCTCATCCGTCAGCGTTCTAGGGAGAACAGGTTCAGGGAGTTTAGTCTTTCCGTGTAGTTGAGTCCTTTTCGACCCCAGACCATCCGGGTTGCTAGTCGCTGGACGTCTTCTAGAACTTTGATGTCCTTCCGAAGATACGGTGCCCAGGCCTGAACACAGTACTCGCCTCACTTAGCGGTATTTTCTTCAGTACGATCTAGTAGGGGCCACTTGGGCATTTATCTGGAAAGCATTGTATGGGCATGTACCACGAAGAAGACAGACTCGAGTCACCTTAGCTTCATAGCGGGTGCCATTGCTGTTCACCCAAATGAACCATTTATTTTCGGTTCTCCCCTGCTTACAGGGCTGATTTGCAGCTGAGCGCCAACGTTTGCTCCGGCGNAGATGCTGCACCATCCTATTCCTCATTATTCTTTCCATTACCTTCAGTGAAATCGGTGTTAGGCTGACCGGTCTATAGTTTGTCGGTTCCTCCGTGCAGCCCCCTTGATATATAGGGACTACTTCAGCCACTTTTCAGTCTTCCGGCACAGTCGCACTGTTAAGTGACAGACTGAATAGTCTCGCAAGCGGGTCAGTCAAGATGATTACTAGAGACTTCATAATCTCAGGGTGGCTGCCGTCCGACCCTGCATACTTGTGCCCTTGAAATACCGACAGCACGAGCTCTATTTCCTCCGGGTGAAAGAATGGCTCTGCCATCACCCGAACCCGGGCAGTTTGGAGGACTGGTGTTGATCTTCCATCCGCGTGATGCACCTTCTCAAAGAACCTTCTTAGGATCTCAGCCTTCTCTGTGTCACTCTCGGCATACTGCCCGTTTTCGTCTCTCACACAGCCTACTGCTGACCTCAGAGCAGCCTTAGACTGGAAGTAGTTGTGGTACGCCTTCGGGTATGTCTTGGCCTTCAGCGCGCGACACTTTACCTCAAATGACATGCTCGCTGAACCCTCAGCGAGGCTTCGGTAGCCCTTCTATATTCTAAAAGCCTTATATGGCCTCCTGTTCCTCTGAAATGTGCCCATGCAGCATGTTTCCGTCGTTGGGCCTTGCCCACTCTACCCGTCTACCGCGGGGGTCTTCCTTGCCTTCGGACTTTCCGCATTGGAGCAAATTCTTGCGTAAGTTCAGTAAGGATGCCCCTTATAACTCCCCACAATTCCCAAACTGTGTTTATGCTTTCTCCCCAGCTTAAGTTGGCGGTCCTGTCTAGCAACCTTTGAATGTTCATTCTTTTAAAGGACTGTCGTGTCTTATCCGGTGGGTTGTCTGGCGTAGATAGTACATCGAAGCGTATTACTACGTGGTCTCTGCGACCAATTGGAACTCTCATTACCAGGTTTCTTACATCGTTTGGGCACTTGGTTATGACCAAGTCAAGCAGTCCTGCTGTGCATCCGGCCCTCCATCTCGTGGGCTGCAGTATATGCCGAATTAGGTCTCGCCCCCGTAGAAACGCAATCAGGCGACCCCCGAAGGATGTTGGAAGAGCCCATTCGTCCTGCTAATTTACTTCTGGTGAGTTAAAGTCCCCCACTGTTACTATTTTATCCGGTGCTTCGCCTACGGTTTTCAGTAGACTTAGTAAGGCAGCGTCTTCCTCCACACTCGCTGATGGGATTCTGTATACGTAAACGAATTTGACCCACCCGCTCCCACTTTTGACCTTGCACCAGACAGCTTGGATACAGAGAGAGTTTAGTGTGATTCCGGCCCGCTGCTCGAGGTATTTTTCCATTAGCAGCAGAACTCCTCCTATTCTCCCATCTCTTCTGTCAGTTCTATGGGGACAGTAGTCTTCCGAAATATACGTGCTGATACTCTCTTCTGGCTTCAGCCATGTCTCTGTTATGGCCACGCACCCAAGGCTTCTGATTTCAGCTCCACCCATAAGTTACCAATGCTCCACGCATTAGTGAGGAACACTTCAAAACTGTTTCCAGCCTGCAGTTTCACG